GACTGAATAGCTTAGTACATTATTTTCAGAGTATAATTATATTTGAGTTGAAAGGGGTTTTTAAATTGATAAAGTTCAAAATAGTGCCCATTTTTGGAGTCATGCCTGTGAAACCAGAAAGTTCAATGTGAATTGTGCTGTGGCTGTCTATTCACTCTGCTACTCCATATTAAAATCATGTAGTTATTGGAATTCAAACACCTTATTTAATGTTATTCTGTATTGCAAAAGATTATGGAAATTCATCTTTGAACAAGTATTTACTGTCAGATGATTTGCCAAAAACTGATGTTTGTGGAACTGAAGTAAGTTTAGATCTTAAAAGTGATTACAGTGAACGGATATTGTCTGATTCAGTTGACAGCAAATAAATTCTCGAAAATCTTGTAAGAAATAATAGTTGAATGGACAGGGTTTTTGATGTGGTTTTCAGATTTTTGTATGACATGTATTTTTAAACCCACAAAAAGGCCAAAATATGTGTATTCCCTCTTGGTATGTAATGAAACTCATGCCTCTAATTGAATACACTAAAGCTGTAAATAGCACTGCTTCTCTTGTTGTGGCCATCAGCAGTATTGAATTTTCAGAGATTTTTCTATTTGAAACAATATGAACTATTGAACAGTAATATTGCTTCAATCTGTTGATTTCTGACAACTCTCCTTGGGTGAACATTTAGCAACAAACTATGACTTGGTACCAATATTAGATAAAAAAAATTCCCATCTCCTTGCAGCTAATGATAAATAAATTACATACTCAGGGTTTGTAAAACCCTTGAATGTCCTTGAAGATGCTTGAATTTAAAAACTCAAAGCCTTGAAAGTACTTGAATTTGAGGACTAAGGCTTGATTCTTGCAATGCTTTTTCTTTAGCAATTTTCAAGTTGAAAATTACAGTACTTTCATGGAAAAGCTGAGAAATAATATTAAATAATTTTTAAATTGCTTATGAAAACCTTTCCAAAAGTGGTCCCTTCAATTTCTAAACCTAGGCCTTAAAAGTAATTGAAAAGTCCTTGAATTTTAACCCTTGACATCTACAGGAACTTACTCCTATATGGTAATATATTATTTGGATTGTTGTCTGGTACCATAACAACATTCATTACACTCCAGCAGACAAAAATAAACACAAGTGGACTTATTCGTGACCGGCAATGATGGAATTGCGTGACGACAGTAACAATGGCAATATGGCAGTCCCCAAAATATAGCTCCAGATGCGCGATATTCAAAACCCGAGTTCACGCAGATATGCGTCTAGTTCACAAATACAACAGACATGGATAACTGAAACTTTATATTTTCAATAACTCCTCATTTATGAGGAGGCAAGGTTACAAGATACCAAGAAATGCAAGAGTATTTTTGAAAATGCAGCAATGTTTTGCCACGAATTTTAAATTACTGTCGAGGAGGCTACACGCATTTGTATCTTTTTTCGGCATTCCTCATCGCCTTAAATCTTTTTTTGTTCAATTTTTGTTTTAATATACTACTAGTATAATTAAAGGGCTCGTTTAATTCTTCGTGAGCTGTCAGTTTTGATTAACCGCATAGACACCTACCAACAGAGAGTGTTCTCTACGTTGATGACAGAAATGATGGCGCCTCTTTAGAATACATGCTGCGAATTTTTTGCGGGGCCAAAGCTCCAGTTGAATAGATGATCGAGTTGATCCAATCCTATCGAGGTAAAGTAAGATTAGAGGTACAAGTTCCCACGCGTATTGATTATTTATGGTAGTTTGTGAGCTTGTGCATTTGTGCAGCTAGCTAGCTAGCTAGCAGATGTTTAAATTCCATCTGGCGTAGATAGCGAGATGTTTCTGGATGTAATCCCTTTTATGGGAATGTAGTATAAGGTAATTCGTGGATGGAGTTTTAACAATGGTCAATTGTCTTCAATTCAGCAGATCTTTAACTTCACCCGTTACGACTATATATTTCTTGTACATGAAAGTCGCCGTGATAATTTTTTGCACGAGTGTTCATTATATCATTTAGTCCGAATATAAAGGTTTCATCTCGTAAGGATGCTTGGACGAAAACGATTGCTGTAAAGTCTAAACGCGTAAATTTATTTAATATATATTTATCAAGCTGGGGTGCTTGTACCATTTTTGGCGCGTCACTAGGCCAATTGTATCACTTATCTGTAACAAAATTATACACCTCGAATGCTTCTGAAGCTTAAGTTATACTTCAGTGAGAAGGTTGAAAATGTGTACAATAAAAACAAGAGATGAAGTCTCTATGTGGGTGCAATAATCGTACATTAACTGAACCCTCTGTCAAAATGCCTTGAAAGATTCAAACTTTCACAGAATTTCTGTAACCGCTAAAAAAGCTATTTGCGTGGCTTCCGAGCTAAAATTAACAACCTTAACGGAAGCACTTGCTGCCTTACAAAAGTAAAAGTTAAAAGAAAATTAATATAGATTTGAAATCGGCTAAGACAAAACATGAAAAAAAAAAATAAATATTAAGGAAGAAAACTGGAGAAGCAGGGATTTGAACCCTGGACCTCCCGCATGATCAGTTCGTATGCGAAGCGGGCGCTCTACCACTGAGCTACATCCCCACGGCCAAGAAAGCGTGAGCAATTTAATATAATATAGATTCTTTATGGAATTTTTTTTTTTTTTTTTTTTTTTTTTTTATTATTATTTTTTTTTATTTATGCCAAGAGCTAGTTTGCATCGCATTTATTATCTACATGTTCGTATGTTTCCCTGTTTGGAACTAAAGCCCAGTTAAGAAGTTGTGCTCTTGGCTCGGCGAACTCAATTAAAAAATAAGTTCGACAAGAGCACGGCGCCTGGATTACTTTTTAATTTATAAGGCTACCCTACGCGATTGTAGCACGACAGCAATTGAAACGTCGTGCCAAACAAAACTCATAAATGATGCTACTGCATATTGGTGGGGTTGGGTTCTCGAGGCAAGTTTGTACTTCGGACGACTGTGACTATAGTCGAACCTGTCTGCAATATTAAATTCGGCACGGCAGAAGCATGAAGTCTGGACAGGGCCAAAAGGAAAAGAAAAAAAAAGTTTCGGTGGAAAGGGCAGCTCACATGCTATAGAAATGAAGATGATGGGATAATCCACTTTCGTTATCGAGACAGGAACGAAGTGCAGGAACGAGGCGCACGCTTTATTTGTGTCGACAAATTAACAGTCAACACTGTAAGCAGAGGCGGATCCAGGAATTTTTGATTGGGGGAGGGTCCAAACTTTGGTTCAGAAAGGACTGTTGGACTCTCTTGAGGCAAATTTCTTGTCCCCCAACACCCCCCACACCTCCTCCCACCAGTCGCGGTTGCACGTTATGATTCCTTGGCCGCTAACCGTTTACTTGGAATCATTAAAAAAATCAGCCAGTTAAAAAGTGATGCATGATCCTGTCTCAAAGTTGTAAGCGTCAGGTCTGATAGGGGGGGTCCGGACCCCCCGGACCCTCCCCCTGGATCCGCCACTGGTAAGAGAGTAAAAAGGTAGTCGATGCCCCGAAAATTAACGCTCTTCATTTCGTTCACGAGATGGATGATTCGAACCCCGGTAGTGGCGGGAGGCCCGGGGTTCAAACCCGAAATCGAAGGCGTTTGTCGAGGATAAGAGTAAACAGTAATTTTGGTCAGCGGGCAAATTATGATGAAACCCGCGAATATTGCGAAATCCCGCGAAAGGATGACATTTAAAAACTGAAGACAATTTTTGACTAAGACATTAGTATGCGTAATGATGGTGACGACTCAGTAAATATATGAAAATAATATATGTGTTCTGCGCTTTCATAAAATGTATGAAAGCGTTCCTCGCAGTAATAAACCCCAATTATCTAGTACGGTTGAAATAAGGCCAGAAACTGAACATTTTAGATTCGTACGGGATTTGAACCTATGACCTCTGCGATACAAGTGCAGTGCTCTACAAACTGAACTAACAAGCTAACTGGGAGCTGGTCATTATGTTGGTTTGTATTAAACCCGTCAATGAATTTGAATAAATGAAAATCATATATGTATACTGCGGTTTCATGAAATGTATGAAAGCGTTCCTCGCAGTAATAAACCCTATTTATCTAGTAGCGACTAAGTACTGTAGACAGGACTTATTGACTTACCCTGTTCTGCCAACAGAAGAGCCAACGTGATAGGCATGCAACGTCTACTTTCAGTGCTTATAACAAGTGTAAAATTATTAAGTCGTAAGTGAAAAAAGCTGTTCCTTTAATTTAAAACGGCAGTCACTTTGAGAATAAAGTATCCCTTTATTTGCCTGTCATTATATCTGTAGTGAGGTCGCTGACACCAAAACGGGCTGGCTTTCTTTATCATGGCCTTGCATCGAGCCGGTGCACTTTAAACAGAAGGATGAGTACAACTGCGGAATTCTCATTTGTCTCGAAAGTAGCTAACTCGCTATGCACCCACACACGACACTTAGTTTTAAGTTTAATACAGAAGTTACTATTCTCATTAAATAATGAGGCGTTAAGGTACGAAATATTTACCGTCACAAGGTAACTAGCATAACCGCTCGTCAGGCTAGCCCCTGGAAGAAGTACATTCTATTAAATATACCTTAACAACCACTTATTTATATCTTAAAAGGAACCAGTTTAACGGAATATTGCATATTCTCGTTTTTCCCAATGACTGATTGTTATTTTCGATCGTTTCTTTCAGTTTGCTAGATGTTTGTGAGAGGACTCCTTTGTAGATGCAGCTTTCGACATAGCAACCGCGAACGTGCACTAATAACGTCTATGGTGTTTGGCTGTTGTTACGATGACATCCACGAGTAAGTAACCTAAGTCACAGCTTGTTTCCAGACTGCATATCCTTTAATCTTCCTAAGAATCGGATTTGATCCTGATATAGAGTTAAGAGTCAAAGTATGAGACCTGACCCAATAAAAAGGAAGACATATTCAGTAAGTGCATGATAATGAAATCTTTTCAGTTCGCTGTTGGAGAAATATCAACTGACGTCTGCATAGTGTGCCATGACGACGATGGAGAAAATTGGCCGGGATGCGATAGTTGTGGCCAGTACTTCCACGCAAGTTGCATTATTGTGGATTTCTCGGATTCTCTCTGGCTACTTTGTCTGCCCTTGTTAATTTAACAACATCGTTGCGGATTAGTGACGTAAATTGATAGTAGAGAATAGTCTTCCCAGTTTGGGACTGGCTTAAGACTAATCTAGGCTGTGAACAATTCGGCTGAAATTCCCGTTATTTCACGAATTATAATTATTTGACGTTTAAGTGTTGACAAGTTTTTCGTATTACGTAAGTGAAAAAATTGACGCTTTTCAAAACTTTACCTAAATTTAAAAAAAAGGTGATCTTGGATTAGGACACTTTTTGACAATTTACTGATGGGTTGTAAAGCCTAAAACAAATCAATAAATTGTCAAATGTGTCCTAATCCAAGATCACCTTTTTTTAAAATTTAGGTAAAGTTTTGAAAAGCGTCCTTTGCTCTACCAGTTAAAATAATGAGCACTATTACGACAAGATATTCTCTCGTTTGCCATCAATTAAAGACGAAAAAAAAACAACAGAAACATTGGGAAAAGTAGACAGGGCTGAAATTTAAAGCTCATAGCAGCTTTAAGATCTGTCTACTGAATAACGTTTTTACTTCTATTGCCTGTGGTGAATCCTTGTAACGAATCTTCGAATGTTTTTCAGCATGAAAATTTTGAAGAATTCTTCAAACTGAGAATGTTTGGTTCTTGTCAGTTCCAAAAGACTTTGTCAAAGAGTAAATTCATCTCAATTTCCAGAAAAAAATTGTGCATCCCACTCAGCTTTTTGGCTTTTTTCAACCTTCATAAATCTCAATAATCACCACGTTTCATTTCCAAAGAGGTAATTATGATTGGGCTTTGGGAGTGGGGGAGAGGAAAGCAGTGGGTGGGCTAAGGAGGGGAAGAGCTTGGATACGAATGCTACCGGTAATGATAGAATGAGCCCTGTCAGAAAACACAATGGCCATTAAAAACAGTAAATTGAGGAGGAGAATGTTTATTTTAAAATCTCACCCATTTTCCCTATAGTGCTACTTTCACAGTCAACTGACCTGTTTTCCAAACTTTTTAAGTGAAATATTCCTTATCTAGAGTATTAATCTTCATCTCTTTACAAAGCTGTGTGTATGTCCAAATCCATGATATCAGAGATGCAATTATTAACCTTGGGATAACCATCATTTTGTATTAGAAGATAGTAGTATTCAAAAATAGTTTTACTAGTTAACTTTTTTTGTTTTTAATTAATACACTCACGGATATTGTGCCAACATATTTTGATTGATTAGATACACATTCACAAAAAATGAATAAAGAATTTCTTGCTTCTATATCTTTTTAAGAGTAACATGAATCATAAAAATCATTACAGAATAAAACCACAATGGAAAGTGACAGTTTGGGTGACAAAATGACAATTCAACCAAGTTGATATTTGACAGCATATCTTAATCAAAACATGTACTTAGACATTACTTAAGTGATGCAACTTGAAGTATTTACTCACAAACTCACAAACTAGCACTCCAATTAACCCTAAAACTCACACGAGCAGCCAAGACAGAATTTCTCCTAACATTATCAAATGAATACAATATCAAGCAGAAAAAAGATGAGAATAAAGAAAACTATCAATTAGGGGATGATTAGTTGATCCCCTAACAAATTCTCCAAACCAACATCATAAGAATTGTATAGCAGACAGTAAGGAGATCTTTGAATTGAGAGGGTTAAAAGAAGAAACAAGACCACCTTTGGGTGGCCAATGGCATAAGGGCAGCCAAGGACACATAATTTAATATTGTGCCCAAGCTTAATTGTCTTGTCTATTTGACTCATCTGAACTCACTCTTGGTATCATTTCTCATTTGATTTCTTTCAGAAATCACTACTTTTCACCATATAAGTCACAAATGATATAAGTTAGTGCTTGAACAAAGAGCCCCTGACACCTACTTCACTGAAGAGCAATAGTTTGCTTCTCAACTAACTTTCGAAACAAACCATTTGGCTCGGCCATTAATTCCATATAGGATCCAGCCTCAGAGATTTGTCCATCACTCAATACAACAATGTTGTCAGCATTCTTAATGGTTGACAGACGATGCGCAATAGTTATGACTGTGCGACCCGTCATTAACCTCTCCAACGCCTCTTGAACCAAGTGTTCACTTTCTGCATCCAGGGCACTATGATGAAAGAAAAAGTGTGGTCTGAATTGTCAAAGGACACAAGAATAAATGAAAGTAAACTAAGCCTTATGCGATTTGTAGACAAAGGGGATTGAAGGTGCAGAGGTGAAAAAGTTGCATACATACTCATGTAAAGTTAAAAGAGCCAAACTACCCATTCTCAAAAGCCAATTAAGAGATTGATCTCATGAAAAATAGTCTAATGGTTAAGGGTTTCCTGGTAGACTCAGTCACTGTTATTGATGATTCAGTAAAAGTACCTTGTAGCCTCATCTAGGAGCAATATGGAGGGGTTCTAAGAAAAAAAAGAAAACATTTTGTTCATGAATGAGAATAAAGGATATCTGATGAACACAAAACTTACGAATTTAAAATCATTTAATAAAGGGTTTTAATCACCTTCAAAATTGCTCTTGCAATAGCAATCCTTTGCCTTTGGCCTCCTACAACAAAAATGCATTGTACCATAATGATTGAAAGGTAAATATAAAGGCTGCAATAGATGGTTCTTGTCTAGTATTTAAATTCTGTCAATCAGTTATTGCACTACATTTAGCTTTTGTTAGCTGCTGGTAACACTATGATTATTGTATATAGCTTTTCACTATTGATGATAAAAAAACTATTGCATGTACCTCTTGATGAGTTTGCGTTGGTTCACTTTTAAAGTTAAAACCCAAGTTTTTTCCCCTTTAATTTAGGGGCCAAGTGTGAAGGAAGAACAACAAAAAATTAAAAAAAAAAAAAACAACTGGCAATACATGCAACAACATGAGATTTGGCCCCAAACACAGTTCTGTATTTTGTATTTTGGCAGCTGTATTTTTTTTCTGTATTTTGGCAGCTGCACAACAAACAGCTTATTAAATTTTGACCAAACAAAGTGCTTGTAGTTCTGGGCCAAGTTGTTTGAAAGGGGATTAATGTTAATCTAGGATTAAAAGTTAACCTTGGCTTTAATTTCTCGTGTAGAAGAGCGCGTTAAAGGGCAAAGGCTTTGTTGGATCTTTTCTCAAAATGACTCGAAACTAACTGAAAAAATATACGTGAGAAAAATCCCTTTCCAGAGCTATTAATTAAAGTAAATCAAAAATTTATGCTAACCATGGGTTAGGTTAATCGTGTTTTGAACAAACCAGCCTTAGAGAAATGTAACTAAATTGCCTATTCTGGTAGTAACAGAAAGTGTGGAAAATTATCATGAACACTGACCTGAAAGCATTTGTCCTCTCTCTCCAACAACTGTGTCCAATCCATTAGGAAAGCTCTTGATGAACCCATAAGCATTCGCTTGCACAGCAGCATCTAGGATGTCATCGTTAGTCACTTGCTGACCTGTATAAGCTCCATATGCAATGTTATCCGCAATTGAGCATGAGAACAAAATAGGTTCCTTAAGAGAAATAAATTGGATTAAAAATTATTAGTCTCACTTGAAGGCTTTAGCATATTCTAAAGTTAAACAAACACTAGATACAGGGTTCGTACACTTTTTCAGGCCAAAGATTCAAGGACTTTTCAAGGACTTTCCAGGACCCTACTTAGAAATTTCAAGGACTTTTTTGTAATGACAATTTTTCCTCAAAACCAAGAAAAATGTTACTTCAGATACAATGAATATATGAAGTTCAAAATGTTACTGCTAACATCTATGTTTTGGGTTTACCAATGGTGCAAAACAAAAGTAGATATTTTTCAATGCTGTTCAATAAAAAATCAAGGACTTTCAAGGACCTAAAACGAAATTCAAGTACTTTCAAGGCCTTGAAATTGGCCTCCTGAAATTGAAGGGTTTTGAGGACGCGTACGAACCCTGAGATAAAGACGAAGGGAACAAACAGATGACCTGGAGGAGGAAGAGTTTATTTGAAATCTTACTTAGACTTGATGTACCACACCTGATGAACAGTTCCAACTGCACCTCTCAGCCAATCAGGTGACAAAGTTTGTACATCTTGTCCTCCAACTAAAACATGCCCCTTTCCAGGGTCATAGAGACGAAGCAGTAATGACCCCAGGGTACTCTTTCCAGATCCACTTGGTCCAACAACTGCTGTGATGGACCCTGCAGGTACCTCTAGGTTTAGTCCACGGAATATTTCCATGTCAGGGCGTGATGGATAAGTAAAATGAACATCCTTAAATATAATACCATTTTTTAGGTCATGCATGTCTGGACGTAAACCGCCTATAAAAAGAAGAGCAAGGTTATT